GCTCCACACTTCCAGCGGCAGAATTCTGAGCAGTCAGTTTCCCTCTGTTTCCGGCCCATCTACCTGCCCATTAGTCTTTCTTTTGTGTCTTTGAGCATGATAATGGGCGTCAACTTTTGCTGCTGTTGTGCTTTCTCCCCTGTCTGCCCCTCTACCCTCCTCTCTCCGCTCAGACGACTTCGTCTCTTTGTTCCCGTGTCATGTCTTTCCCCGAGCGCTATGATTTTACGGCCTGGGTATTGCCAGCGTGCTGTGTCAATTTGTTTCCCTGGTGGGGTTTGGTGGTTGTTTTTTCGTCTGCTCTTTAAAAAAACCTGAGTCGGGAGAGGCGATAGAGGGAAATGCGACATGACAGAATACGATGTCAAGCTGTCATGACTTTGTCACTGTCAGTTTGAAAATGTTCTGAAGAGTGTAGAGATCACGTGACAAAAATACGCACGTTACGACCGCCGTCGAAATTTAACTGTCTATTGCCACGTTACTGGGCCTATTAATGTCGCTAGTTTTCTCATTTGACGTTGCTGAATCTGCATTGTCTTGAGCAAACATACACTTTTGACGGTTTGGGGATAATTTATTGTAGGGGCTGCACCCGGACGCCCTAACTCTGGGTGCTATCTTGGGTGCTGAAAAAAATCCTCCGTCGGTGTGTTTGATTGAACACGGTATTCATAGACAATGAGACGTTCGTAAGGCCTTAATGACAGCCCCTTTTGTAACAGATATGGTCCATGCCTTTTAAAAGTTTATTGCTGTGTGTGTAACTTGATGTCTCGGGGGAATGTCTCACATGTGTCGAATACTGCAGCTGGTTATGTCCCCTTCGTTAATTGTACTGCACTTTAGAATCCATTTTGTTACGATCCTTTATTGCTGAATAGGTTTTAATTTTCTACAGCTTAAAAATGTATTCATGGGAATGCGGGCGCTGGTAATGTCTGTTGAAAAATTAAAAAACACACCCTCCCGAAAAAAACAAAACAAAAGTTGTATTGAAAGAGTTTTGGGAGTGTAGGATAGTATGAGTGTTGGCTGTTTGAGAGCACCTCTTGTAGAGACACAAGCTCAACGCGGTGTATGTGCCAGTAACAGTAATGTCATGAGGTAAATATGTAAGACAGCAGACAAAAATATCCCATTCATATGTCCCAAATTTTTTTTGCGGTATTTTGCATAATAAAATACCGTCATGTGTCAGGATGATCTGCCGCAGTCGAGTTTTCTACAGTCTTAATCTGCTATTAATCGTATACGTTTCTTTACAAGCAGTTCCTCTCCTTGCCTCTTGTGTTAAAGAATAACAAGAACAAGAACGAAACAAAACTCAAATCATGCAAACGACACGACAACACGACTCCGCCAACTGTGTGTTTCCTAATGTAACACCCCAGTCCCTCCGAGGGACAAATACGACGAGATAAATACAAACAAAATCTTCAGAAAGATCCGCGTCGAGTGACAAAAAGACTTGCCATTTAAGTGGACGCCTGTTGCTCAGTGCTTGTGTCTGCGGGCGTTGTGCTCTTGACAACAGAGACATGAAGAAGAGCTGTGTCTCGTGCTATCTTCCTCTCAATCTTTCCCCCTGTGCTTCTCTTTCAATGAGCATAAATCATGTGTCGTTGTACCTGATGCTTTTGTTACCGTGGAATGAAAATAACTTTCTGTTCTGTTTTGAGGTGAAAAACTCCCGAAGTTTAATGCTAAGGACATGTTTTCCAATGGACAGCGTCTCGTATTTAGGGGAACATGATGCGGTCCCATATAAAGTTTAATAAGGATTTGCTTCATGATTGATGAACCATATCCCACCCCCCCCCTCCCATAAATCCCTTTTTGCATCCCTCTGTGCGCGCGTGCACTCACGCGCGCACACACACACACACACATCTCTCTCTCTCTCTCTCTCTCTCTCTGTGCGTGTGTGTGTGTCTGTGCGTTGCATGATTTATGAGATGTGTACGTTAGTGGAGTGTTTGTTGTACGACACGTCTTTCTTGAGTGTAACACAGACCCAGGCTTCTGTGCTTGCTCTTCAAAACGGAGAGGTTGTTTTTTCATTGAAGTCTCTAGCGCGGCAAATTAAATTTGTGCTTTCGACTGATAGGCCTGTTAGTTCAGCCCCTGTCCTGCCCATCCCTCCCTTCTTCCCCCCCCCCTT